TATAAGATTTTAATTTTCCGATAGCTACTTCAACTTCCTCTTTACTTGGTCCTTCTATTAACGGTTCAGCACTCTGGTACTCAGAAGGAGGACACAGATCATAATTTCCCGTATTTAAAATATTGTCAAAGTGGTCCTTAAACTTATTCAATATGTCAACCGGATCAGTCAGAATATTGTTATTATCATCCCTAATTCCAGACGTTACGGGCCCTACACATTTACGTGATCTGTTTATACCTTTGTACATGTCTCTTACGTTATTTTCGATTCTACTAGTTTCTATTTCAATTATTTTATTTTTAAGATACTCCCTTTTTTTATTTTTGAGCAATTTTGTCGTTTCGTTCTTTGAGGTTCGGAAGTATTCCAGATTGTCTTCGCTAGGATTATTTAGAGCTTTTAATTTAGCGGCTTTTCTTTTTTCGCACATGTTTAAGCAATCTTCATCAAACCACGGTTTGTTAATCTTATTTCCCTTTTTTCCTGGACACCAGTTACCAACCGCTTTAATATTATCCCTGATCTCTACCCATAACTGGTTAATATCCTTATGGTCCTCGTCATGAAGCTCTAAAGCTTCAAACCTATTCTTAACATCTAGCTCGAATTAGGTTCTTATTGATGGATTTTTTAATTTTTCAAAATTAAAATTCTCAAAATCGAAATGGTTTTCTTTTCTCTTTTTTACATTAAGTTTTTGTAGAAGTTTCGTGATTACTAATTCATGATCCGACCCACATTCTGCTCCGCGATAAGACCGTACATTAATTATACTGCTTTGCCAGCTATGTTGTATCAAGACATGATCGATTTGATTTCGTGTTTGCGAATCCTGTGATGTCCATGTATATTTATGAATATCCTTATGTTTAAACGTCGTACTTTTAATTATCAGGTTTTTCGAGATGGCAAAGTTTATCAGACGGATCCCATTATCATTACTATATTAGTGCAAACTTTCTTTACCAATCGTCGGAATATAAACTTCTTCCCTTCCTACCTTTGCGTTCATGTCACCTACAATTATTTTCATGTAGTTTCGCGGTAGTTTATCATAAACCCATTCGAGTTTATCGTAAAATTCACTTTTGACTTCATCGTCACTGTCTTCGGTCGGACAATGTATGTTTATTAATGCGATTTTAAACCAAAGTCCCTGAAATATAGCTACCGAAATTCTATCACTAAAGAATTGTACGTCCCTCAAAGCGGATAGTAATCTACTCCTAATTAGAAACCCGGTACCTAAATAATGATTCCCGCTTCCTCCGTACCAAATAGTGTACTTTCCTTCCCTCACCGAGCCCTCCCCTGGACAGCGAACCTCTTGCAGAGCCACGACATCCAAATTGTACCCATTTACCTCATTTGTGACCGATTTTAGCCCCCCTGCTGTGTTTAAACTCCTTACCTTCCACGTACCAATATTTAAATCCCTATATTTCAACTTGCGCCATGAATCCCCTAAAGCAGCCCGGAGACCCGAACGGGGGACTAGTTTACCTCCGGATAATGAGCGTTTTACCTTAGAGAGATCCATGACTGTTTGGTGAACTAAAGATATGTGAGTAGGGCGTTCAATCCTACGTCACACCCTCCAGCAAGTCTGGTGGGCCTCTACCTCCAGCAAGTCTGGAGGTTCCCTCTCTCCAGCAAGTCTGGAGGTCCCCTCCCTCCAGCAAGTCTGGGGGGCCCCTCTCATTGTTGGTCAGCGAGTCCATCGGACTTAGCCAGGAGGAACTTCCAAGGAATTTTCACCGACCATCCCAACAAATTGAAAAGAATTTAAATTTATAATCTTTATAAAACAAAATAATGAAGAGAAGAATGGTTGGGGTGATCAGTAAGAAATAAGAAGACAAAAATAAATAATATTTATTTTGACGTTTGCCGACTTTTGACCTGAAGTTCAGGCCTTCATCAGGGCTTCTCCAGTAGCTGACCGGAACAAAGTGTCAAAAAAAAAAAAATGCAGCTCAAGTAGGGGGAGCTGGAGTAAATACCGTCTGCTGCTTTTTGTATTAAAGTCGTGCATGTATATGTAAACAAACAACAAATGCAAAACTTCCACCTTCCTTATAATAATAAATATTTATGATGTTTATACATTAAATAAAAAATACAAAAGATCTTTTAAATTAAAAAAAAAAAATGTTTTTATTGTTGCTTCAAGATATCACCAACAAAAGTTTGTTGAGAATACAAAATTTTAAAGATTTGAATGATTTTCACTTATTGAAGTCAATGGGACTAGTTTTACTACAGATCGTTCGTATGTACCTGTTCATTGTTAACCACCATTATAATACTGTCTTTGTCAGCGTGCATTTCCAAGGCTCTTGCCAATGGCCATGTATTCAAAGGTGAGTTTGGATCCTCGATAATCACTAAATCTCCAACACTCATGTTCCTGTAGTTCTTAACCCACTTTTATCTTTGCTGTAGCAGATTTAATTGGGAAGATTGATAATAAGTGTGGCGGATTTTGCAATGAGGACAGCTGTTTGGGTTTATTGATGATCTCAAACAAGAAGTGATGTGAGGCCTTGATCCTCTCAAATTGAACAGGTGTCTTGTATTTGAACTGTCACCTGCTGCTTGTTTGTTAGGTAATAAGCTTCCATCATTCATAGTTAATTCTAGTGACCTCCATTCTACTTTAAGATGTCGATTAGGTTCCTATATTTGGGAAATTCAGTTGAAAAATGTTTTTTCTCAAAGCTTCATAGAGTTTCAGAGTCCAAGCATAGCAATACCAGACAGGATAAAATGCAGTCATCAGCCCCCAGGATTTTAAGTTGTCAAAATAAATCTATACTTTCAATAACTGAGGTTAATTAATGTTGTAAATTGGCAGTATGTTTCAGAGTCCAAGCATAGCAATACCAGACAGGATAAAATGCAGTCATCAGCCCCCAGGATTTTAAGTTGTCAAAATAAATCTATACTTTCAATAACTGAGGTTAATTAATGTTGTAAATTGGCAGTATGTTTCAGAGTCCAAGCATAGCAATACCAGACAGGATAAAATGCAGTCATCAGCCCCAAGATTTTAAGTTGTCAAAATAAATCTATACTTTCAATAACTGAGGTTAATTAATGTTGTAAATTGGCAGTATGTTTCAGAGTCCAAGCATAGCAATACCAGACAGGATAAAATGCAGTCATCAGCCCCCAGGATTTTAAGTTGTCAAAATAAATCTATACTTTCAATAACTGAGGTTAATTAATGTTGTAAATTGGCAGTAAATGGACGGTAACTAAATGGAGTGAATTTTAGCACATTCTTGAGGTAGTCCACGACTACTCTTCTTTTGTTGTTGTAGGTATCATTCAATAGTTTCCATGATTGATCGTAATTAGCCTCTTGTATTTTGACCCCTTTTCTCACAGCAAGTGGATGACCTTTTAAGCATGAAACTAAAAACAAAAATTTTTCTATGCCAGACAGACAAGTTTCTTCATGTATTAAGAACAGATAAGTATCCCTGGTTAATAGCCATTCTACTTGGTTCCTATTGAAGGTGCTTTGTGAATTATGTATTTGCACCCGAATGCTACTTAGCAGTAGGTTGTGAAATCAAAGATGACCGGGAGCAGCCAACCTCAAGACTTTACTACGCCCCACTCTCGCTAAGGTATCGTACCAATAAAGAACAGGTTAAGGGGCCTCTCTCAACAAGTAAGAAATTGCCTTATGGCAGCAGAAAGGGTGAGTTACTTATTTTTCACGATGCATATTCCTCACTAATGCCTTAATACAGTCCACTGACAAATTATTTCGTATGTTGCCTCATGATAAACTTAGTAAAGTTTTTTGCCTTTTTTTCTCTAAATTTAGTTATTTGCCTAAACATGAGGAATGTAAGTTTATTTGAGGAAGCCTGGGTTCGAAAGTTCTTGATTCATTTAGAAGGCTACAACTTTGTTCATAAATCGTGCAAGCTTCATAATAAAAGCGCTAGATATTATAAAGGACTACTTTAGTAGCTAAAGATAGCGCTAGATATTTTTTTGTAAGGTTATGTCTACCGCAAGAGCGAAAATATTGTTGGCCTTTCACAAATCTGAAAGCTCAATAATTTTGTACCAGGTGTTGTTAAATGAATCAAAATACGGTTTGAGTTCTTTATATATCCTCTTAAATAAAAATAATTATGATAAGTCATTAGTAATTTAAGAACCTTGTTCAGGAATTTTCTTAATTTGGGGCCTTGACTTTAAGTTTAGTTTTAAGAGACGTAAATTGAGCAATTTTGTCATCAAATAGATTTTCTATGATGATTTTTAAAAAAGAAAAGAATTAAATACAATATTCTGGAGAATGGTATGCTGAAAGCTTACAAATAAAAAAATAAGAATATTAAATGCTTAAATGTATAAAAAGTGCTAATTAGAAAGCTCTAAGTAATTACAAACAGAAAGCCACATTGCAAAGAGCTCAACTAGACAGTTTGTGAACAATTAGTGGAATGCATCCAACCTCTATAAATTGGGTAACCTTTATTACAATCAATTCTCAGCACAATTATTGTCATTGAAACAGTACTTCCTTAAACTGTACTGAACCCAAGACCCTTAATGGCTTACAGTGGTACAGGGTTGTCATTATATAAAGTATTTATAGATTTTAATTTATCTTAAACAATGTAATTTGTATTCACTTCTTAATATTCATTTATTAGTTAAATATTATGTTGTTTTTCATGCCATTTTATCTTTTTTACTTTCTTACTATATTTTATATGTTTTGTTTGGTCGTTATCTTGTCTTTGCTAGGCCCCGAAGACCTACATTTTAGACCAAATTACCAGCACAAAGAAAAAATTTTTTTTTATTTCACTTTGACTGCAACCCCAATTAACTTCTAATAAAAATACTCTAAATTTAACAACTGAAAAATGTATTACTTGATAAATTAATTAAATTGCATCTATTGATTAATAACATATTGTACCACTACTATATAATATGGATGGATTTCACCAATTCCCAACCTTGCTAATAATGCAACAGCTCCAGTTACAACAGGGGATGCTACACTTGTACCAGAAAGGGTTCTACATCCACCGTTAATACTGGAACCTCTAACAGATGAGCCGTAAGTAACTATGTCTGGTTTCAGTCTCCCATATCTGAAAAATATAATGATTACACATAAAAAATAAAATAAAACAAATTTAAATGATACTAAAATTAATTTTCATACAAATATAATTTTATTTTTAGCAAGTAATAAATGGCAGAGAACTCTGCCGATGCCTGTCCCAAGCCAGAATGAAAAAGAAGGAGCCCAGTAAGGGTCCCTAATAAAATATACAAGGTAGGTAAGAAAAGACGAAAACAGGGTATCTTATAACCAAGGAACGGATTTGTATGCAGTAAAAACCCACAGAATATGCCATATAATATGCAGAAAAAATCCCTGAAATATGCAGCTAAATATACAGTAAACAAACATGAAAAATGCAGTAACTGGTCTCTAAATATACTAAAGTTACTAATTACATGATTACTAATATATCAATAACGTATTTAAATATAATATAATGACATATCTAAAAAAGTTTTGAAACGAAAATAAATTATGAAGGGGTAGAAAATTACAATAATTTCAGTTTTTTTAATATCTAAACTAAAGAATGAAAATAAATTACTATATTTGGCTAATAAGGTTATATATACATCATAATGGTAATGAAAACAACATAAATCACATTTAAAAAAATGTAAATATCAAAATAGTACAAAGTATACACAAAAAAAAAATTTTATTAACACAAAATTAAATAAGCATAGTAAGTAAAATATAACAAATATGAAACAGTAAGTATGTAAAGACTTTCGAATATTGTATGTTAATGGATAAATATCTAATATGAGTCTTTACTATGAACAATAACAGAATTAACAACCTGTGTAATAAATAACATAAAATAGATGAAACATTTTAATTAGTATGCTTTGCAGACATGTTCTGTCTTAAAACTAATTATCACAAGCATTTGTAAATTTGCTTCTGTGAAACCTAACTTTTTATAATTAGAAAATGATCCTTCCACATCAACAGGCGAGATAGAGGCAAATTTATATCCACTTAGAATTACCGGGATGATGTTAAATGTCGCTGGGAACAATTGAATCTACGCCATTTAACATTTTATTAATACCTTTCAGAATTGTGAGACCTCAATTTTTTATAGAAACTTCTTCAAATAATTTTTTTCATTTAAAATTTCACCCACTTGGACTGGTACCACTGGTTTTCCATCAATTGTAAAAGCTATTTCATGTCTGTTGTTTTAAGGTTCAATCCAAGATTTCAACATTGATGAAAATGAAAATACCTTTGGTATTTTAAATAAACAGAAATATGATCTCTTGCTAAGAACATAGGCAACAAACTAAATTAGAAACTGAGTATGATATTTATGTGGGACAAGAAGGAGAAATGGATTTCTAGGAATTGGAGAACATCTATAAGAATTAAATATTAAAGGGTATGGCGGAAGGTAGGTATACAGTTTACAAATGTGGTAGATTTCGTTCTTTCAAATTAAACCTACGATTTTAATCTTGAATTGAATCTTCAGTATTGCATTTTAATTTGTGTATATATAAATATTCATTTACATATATATATATATATATATATATATTGTTTATTTCATTAAATCTATCAAAATATGCAACTAAATGCATTTATCTTCAAATATGCAACTATATGCATTTATCGTCAAATATGCAACTATATGCATTTATCTTCAAATATGCAACTATATGCATTTATCGTCAAATATGCAACTATATGCATTTATCCTTCAAATATGCAACTATATGCATTTATCGTCAAATATGCAACTATATGCATTTATCGTCAAATATGCACAATAAAATTTGGCTAACTGCATCACAGTGTACTAAGTAAATAGATATTTGATCAGTGGTTAAAAAAAATAACGCAAACAAAATATGCAATTGCATAAACATCCAGGCCTTGATTATAACTAAATTATGTAATATATTATAACTGACACATTACAAATTGATAATAATCATGGATATTCATTTAATGTATATCCATTGGATGATTTTATGAATTAATCTATAAATCTAAAATGAATACATTAAGAGTCTTAAAACTACATATACTGTTAAAAGGTGGAAGATATTGGAGTAAGTTGAAATTATCTCTTTATCTTCCTTTATAATTAGTGGTTAAAGTACATACAACGTGTGTTCTTATAATTTAGAAGCAAAGGGAGTAGGGTAGAAATGCTATATTTATGTTGATATGTATGTTATTTAAGATAATTATTGGTCTCACCAATATAACAGAAATTACAATTAGGGGTGGAACATGGGATGCGGTGAACTAAATTAGATTGTTGTAGAAGTGTTAAGGATCTTTTAGGTTGCTGTATAGGGTTTTTAGTACGTGATTATTTTTAGATATCATGCATATATTAGTAAAACAGGAAGAAAACAATTTTTTAATTTTATTGGAAAGAGTAGGATTTGATCTGTATTGTACAAATATAGGAGGGGGTTGTGAGGAAATTTTCGGTAACCCATAACATCGGTGCATCATGAAATTTTTTATTTATCAACTTTTTTTTCATTTTTTTTATCTTGAGAAGGAAACGAAGTTAGTAATGGATTAAGACAGGAAGATTCTTTGGCTTCAATACTGTTCAATATTTCACTTAACGCAATGATAAAAAGAGCTGAGTTAGAGCTTGAAGGCACAATAATATTCAATAAAATGACCGACGTGCAAGCATATGCAGATGATGGAGTGATAATCAGGAGATCATTTTCCAAAATAGAAGATTTTACTTGGTTGGATGAGGAAGCCAAGAAACTAGGGACTGATGGTGAATCAGCCCATATCAAAAATCCTTCCATTGAGAAAAAGAGAATCCGTCGACAAAGTCACCTAGCTCCCAAGATATTATTGGGGACTGCACCTTGGAAACTGTGAACAGTTTTTACTACCTTGGCTGTACAATCAATGAGGATCTGGATAAGGATGAAGAATTAATAAGAGGATTTTTTTTCTGGTAATAAAGCTTACTTCACTCTCAAGAAAATCATGAAAAGCAGATTGATCAGCCAAAAGACCAAGTTCAGGATATAGAAAATGTTAATAAAACCAGTAATAATATATGCTAGGGAAACCTGGACATTAAACAGAACACCTGCTGACAAGCTGGACAGGGTTGAAAGGAGGACCTAGCGAAGAATATTAGGATCTAAGGGCGAAGAGGGAGTTTGGTGACTCTGCTTAAAACAGAGTTATATGAGGCTTATCAAATTATATAATAATTCAACAATAGAATTATTGGGTCACTAGTGGGTCCCTAGTGAGCCCACTAGAATAGTGGGTCACTTTTCCTAACTTACTGTATAAGTTCCTAACTTACTGGGTAAGTTCCTAACTTACTGATAGACACTTCAAAGTAAATCACATTAATACCTATTCATCCCTCTTTTCTCAATCTGCCGTTCTTTCTCAAGGTAGTATCCTTGGTCCTATCCTTTACACAGTTTATACAGCAGATATTCCAACCCATCCTAACACTGTCATCACCACGTATTCTGATAACACATGTATCCTATCAGTTAATAATGATTCATCAATTGCTTCCCAAACCCTTCAGTCCCACATCACAAACCTTGAAGAATGGTGTCAAAACTGGAGGATTCAAATAAATCCCATCAAATCACCTTTACCCTTTGTTGTAAACCTATGACTTCCTGTCCTACAGTATCCTTTAATAACACCCCACTTATCCCTGTAGAACAAATCCGATACCTAGGACTCCACCTGGACAAACGTCTCACTTGGAATCCTCATACAAGACTGAAACGACAAGAAACTGCTCGACGTTTCCGCTTACTAGACAAACGCTCTAAACTGCCAATTAATTACAAGGACTCAAATACATGACTATAATAAGGCCTATTTGGACTTTTGAGTTGATCTATGGGGCTCCACTAAACCATTAAATTCCTCTCGTATCCAATCCTTACAATCCAAAATCCTCAATGCTCCTTACTTTGTCACAAATAAAATAATCCATAAAGACCTTAATGTTCCATTTGTTTCCCATTTGGCCCAGATACCTATCCTTCCATAATAAACTTCATTACCATCTGAATCCTCTTTTTTCTAACCTTGCTTCCTCTTCGATTCCTGATAACTCTCCGAGGCATCTGAAAAGAAGATGGCCTCGTGATCTCTTTATGTAGACATATTATTAGAGTATTACCAATGGGTAGTTTCTCAACAAGCGTTTTCATGTGATTATATTCCTCTGTACACATTTACTTGATGTATTTATACTAATATACAGTTGTAAATATCATAAATAATAAGAAAAAAAGAAAGAAATTTAGGAATTAGTGATTAGGAAGGACATTTGAGAAGAAAAATTAAGGATTCTTCTTTGTGTGCTAGCTGTCTGTAAGGGTGGGAATAACGGTTTAGAAGAGATATTTGATTAGGGAATTTGGATTTTAGAAAATGGAAGAAATTTAACTCAGTCCTGAATGCACAGAGTCAGATAAAAGGGCAGAATGAACTGAATAAGACGAAAAGTCAGTATTATGGAAAAGCCTGTTAGTGTTGAAGAGTTTCAATTAAAAGATCATTTTCTTCTGGTTTTCCTAATGTACACATAATTTTCGAAAATACCCACAAACTAGAAGCCCCTATACTAAGTGTTTGATGTCGGCTTCTTTTAACAGACCCTATTTTTTTGTTTCCGTTGTCGGCACCTGATGGTTTGTTCAATAGATACCAAAATTTTAGTAAGGAACAATAAGTTTGTCACTGATACATACATTCTCAATTCCTGTGACCGAAACCTGGGAGAAAAACACAGTTTCATAACCACTTTACATAAAAAATATTTGAATAATAGTTATTTTTATTTTTATAAATAAAATGTGTTTATAGGACATTATGTTTATTAGAATACATCCCAAATAACGGAAAAAACAAGAAATAAAAGCTTTGCAACAGTTAATTGCAGTAATTTTTGCTGAAAACATGGGTACTTTAAGATGACTGGATAGAAAATCAAATAATTTTTTTTACACAACTTGAGGTGAATCTGAAAATTTTTCC